TTATTATTATTATTATTATTATTATTAGGTACTGGGGATTGAACCAGGGGGCACTCAACCACTGAGCCACATTCCCAGCTCTATTTTGTATTTTATTTAGAGACAGGGTCTCAACAAGTTGCTTAGCACCTTGCTGTTGCTGAGGCTGGCTTTCAACCCTGGATGCTCCTGCCTCAGCCTCCTGAGCTGCTGGGATCACAGGTGTGCACCTCCATACCCAGCTCTTGGATGCGATATTAAGGTCAATGTTTGTTCTGGTTGGTGGTTGCCTAGGCCATGTTAGAGTAGCACCTCTGAGTAGCACTTCTGCATAGTACAAGGCTTTTAAGTTTACTGCTTTCCTCTCTTGATGATAGACCACTTTATTCCCAGCTCTAATCTGGAACCCTGGAGTCCACCAGAGTTCAAACTATATATTCACATAAATGATTTAGTTGACACACATGGAGCTCTCTATAATGCTGAAAAGGAGGGCAATGGACTGAGCATGTGTGTAATGGAACCACAGAGACCCTTCCACCAAGTGGATATTTCTCAAGACTCTTTTGGTTGTTTTTATGATCAGTACAGATATACTTTGGGGATTAATCATATCCCACCTGTGCCGTCACTTTTTTTCTCTGTGCCCCAGATGACAAGCTCTTGACCTTCAAACATAGTCACCCAATAGGTTGAGTCTTTCAGTCCTGCCATCTAAATACACATCCACTCAGCATGTGTGAGTGCCAACCCCTGGGCCTTCGCCAGTCTGGTCCCCACCAAAGCTGTCAAACTGACTACATTCAGCCCCACCGGAGGCACAGCATGGCTCTTAGGACTTGTGGTTCTGTTCTTCATTCTAGTGTCATGATGTCTGGCTTTCTGGGAGGTCTGGGCATTCTACTCTCCCCAAGCCTTTTGAGAAGGTTACTCAGGACTAACCAGGGGTAAGTTCAGGGTTCTTGATTGCCTATGTCCTGAAGTGGTTTTGAGTTGGGGGATCCTTAAATGTCCTTTTATAGTTCATCTTGGGTGGAAGTTCCTGTCCTTTTAAAGCTGCTTTTCCCTTCTGCCCCATCCCCTAGTCTAGAGGATGAATGTAAGATCTTATGATGATGAGATCTTAGGAATGTTCTCCAAAAGGTTGTGAAGATTGGAAGCCTAGTAAAGTCATTCCGTTCCATGGGCTGAACTGAGCACATGTTATTTCTCTTCCTTTTGCTATCTGTAAAGGAATACAGCCAGTATAACCCTCTAGCAAGGAAGACCATGGGGGGTGGGGACAGTGGATGAGAGATTTTAACATGAGTCTGGCAGGCAGAAGATGCATAAAGAAATGCTGGCTGTTGAGGCAGAGTGGACAAACTCTTAGCTCAGAATACATGCTAAGGGAACATGCTTAGTGGAGCTAGAGATGCCTCAGATTTAGATAACAGATAATTCAGGTGGCCTAAGATGAGAAAGCAAGGAGGAATAATTGAAGTTATATGAAAAAAACAGATAACCCTTGCAAACTTGTCTTTTTCAAGTTGGAGACCAGATTATAGTATCAAATTTATCCCTTGAATAAATGAGACTCCTTCTTTCCCTCCTCCTCTCCTTCCCTCCCTCTCTCTTTCTTTTTCTCTTTCTTTCTTCTCACTCTCTCTCTTTTGGTACTAGGGATTGAACACAGAGTCTCACACATGCTAAGCAAGTTCTCTTCCATTGAGCTACAGCCCCAACCCTTTAAAAAAATTATTGTTTTGAGACAAGGTCTCCAGAATTTTCCCAGACTGGCCTCAAACTCACAATTTTTTTTTTTTTGCCTCAGCCTCCTAAATTTTGGGGATTACAGATATGTGCGACTGCAAACATCCCGTCCTGAGAATGATTATTTCTTAAGAAATTGTCTGAAGTTTCAGGGCAGAATCAGATCAGCAAGTGTGAGTTGGTTGGGTGTAATTGTGACTTTCTGGTATTTCTTGTGGCATGAAGCCAGCCCCAGCCTTGGACACAGAACTCCTGGTCAGAGTATCTGTTATTTCATTCAAAAACATGAATGAAGGACCAAGGATCCCCATACATTTCAGGGGAATCTGAACAACAGACAAAGAAAAAGGTAAATGGAGAGTTGACTTCAGAGGAAACCAAGATGATTGGGGAATTGAAGAGAACTCCTAAAATGCCTCTTCTCTCCAAAGCATTCATGCTGACCCTGGGTGTATGCAGCACCCTGAATGTGCTGTCCACGGGTCTCACTCTTGGGTCAATGTGGAAAATTTACACATATTTGTTTAACTTGGGCTTCTGGATTACATGTTGTAATGATCAAAACAGGAGCTATGAACCACATGTAGCTATTTATATTTAACTTTAAATTAATTAAAATGAAACAAAATAAAAAATTCTATCCTTCATTCTCACTAGCCACATTTCAAGTCTTTAGTAGCCACATGTAGCTAGTGGTTATCATGTTGGACTGGAGCTGATGCAGAACATTTATATCATTGAAGAAAATTCTGCTGGGCAGTGTTGATTTATAGCAATAGGTTTCAGTCCAAACTTGTATTTTAACATCATTGCAGAGATTTATAAAAACACATACATACATCAATCACTTCCTTTTTAAAAAAATATTTAATTTGTTTTTATATATTTTTAAATTGAAGCATAATTTATATATAGCAAAATACTCAAATCTTAAGTGTACAGGTTGATGAATTTTTAACTTGTGTATGCCAGTGTGACTACCACTCAAATCGATATATGGAATATTTCCACCACTCTAGAAAGTTCCCTTGTACCCTTTCTCCAATATTTCTGCTCACTCTCTTCCCTCTTTCCCAAGTAACTACTGCTCTGAAATCTATCACTGTAGATTTTGCCTGTTTTTGAACTCACACATGGGATCACATAGTATATCTTTAGCATCCAATTCTTTCTGTGAGATGCCTTTGAGAGTCCTTTATGCTGTGTGTTTTTTTTTGTGCATGTTGTGTTTGTTCTATTTTATTGCCAGGCTGTGTTCCATTGCATAAATTTGTTTATCCATTCACCCATTGAAGAACATTTGGGTTGTTTCCAGTTTTTGTTTGTAATGCATAAAGATGCTATAGACATTGTTTTTAAGTCTTTTTGGGGACAGGTCTCTCCCTCTTCAGGAACTTCTTGGCTTGGACACTGTCAGATTATAGGACCCACCTGGGCTGGGGGTTCCTGGTAAAAATTTGAAGGACAATTTTTAGCTTCTGTCTTCTGATGCAGAGGAGAGGCATGGGGAGTATAAAATTTAACCAAAAGGAAGACAAAATCATTTGGAATGGATTCACTAAAGGCTGAAAAATGTGTTGAAAAAAATGGGTGGATTGCCTTAGAGGTTGTTTTTGGCATCTTTATGAATTTTGTAGGGTTATCATGAACTCCCTGCTGCTCAGTCCTGGGAGTCCTAGAAATGCCACTCACCTTGTGAGCCGCAGCAGTCATCCAATAGCCCTGCCTTAGATCAAGCTTATCCCTTCTTGCCCTAGCAATGCATTAGCCTTCGGGACAGTCCATAGCCAGAGTGATCTTTCTAAAGTCTGACTCTAATTTTATTCACTACAATACTTCAGTGGCTCCCCATTGCCCACAGGAGAAATGGGCCTGAAATTGCCTTTCTAATGCCCTTTCTTTGGAATTTTCTACATTCAACCTTTACTCTAGCTATACCAGACTCTCATAGCTCTTTGCCTTGGGACCAGGGTAAGGCAAAAAATTCACCTTACCAAAAAAATCTCAATAAGACAGTAATATGGTAAATAAATATTTTAAAAAATCAAAATTAATTAAAAATTTATTATGAAACATATATCAGAATTTCACATAAACAGGCTCTGACACTGTTGTGCTGAGCTATTTTGGATCCTGAAGCAAAGGGAAAAAGTGCATCCTTATATGTGTGCTTTTGCATATTTTTTAAAAAGGTTTACTTAAATATTGGAGAAATAGAAAAGTAGATGTATCAACACTTATAAGTGATTTTACACTTATTTCAGTAAGTGATTTTACCCCAGGCCAGAATTTATTACAATTTTACTCTCTTGGTTTTATTTTTTATTTTTAATTTTTTATGTCATTATACATGTACTTTATTTGGTTTGCATTACAATTTAAAAAATTTTTTTGTTGTTATTGATGGATCTTTATTTTTTATATGTGATGATGAGGATCAAACCCAGTGCCTCACACATGCTCGGCAAGTGCTCTACCACTGAGCCACAACCCCAGCCCTGCATTACAATTCTTAATACACATATATCCCACATTTTTTCATATCTCTGTTTGTATATAAGATATGTTGACATCCAATTCAAGTCTTTATACATGCACTTTGTATAATGATGACCATCGCATTCCACCATCCTTGCTAATCCCCTGCCCCCTCCTTTTCCCTCCCACCCCTCTTCCCTATCTAGAATTAATCTCATACTCCCATACTTTCTTGGTTTTAATAGAAACAAATGATCTGTACGTGTGAGTGTGTACACACACACACATGCACACATGCACCTTGTGGGGTTGGGGATTGAACCCAGTGCTCTACCACTGAGCTACATCTCCAATCTTTTTTAAAATTTTACTTGGAACAGGTTTTGCTAAGTTGTCCAAGCTGGCTTCAAACTCATGATCCTCCTGTTTCAGCCTCCCAAGTCTTGGGTTACAGGCAGGAGCCACCATACCTAGCTGTCAGTTATATTTTCAAAATCTAGTTCTGGAAAAGAGTAGAGTTTGCATGCAGTTTTTACTGTGGTTCTGCATGACATCCATGTCCTCGTCTTGAAAATTTGTTCTTTTTAGATATACATGACACTACAATGTATTTTGACATATCATCCGTGTCTTCTTTACCTGGATCCCCCTTTCTTCTGACTAGGCAGTGTGGCATTGTGGTTTTGAACCTGGACTACCTACATTCTCCACCCTAGCACCACTATTCACTAGTTAGTTATATGATATTGGGAAAATTATTTAACCTCTCTCTCTCTCTCTCTGTTCCTTAGTTTCTTCATCAGCAGAGAAGATATCATATGGGAAGCTCTCTATTAGAGTGGTTGTAAGGATTAACTGAGAGAGTTCACGTAAACAGAGAAAATTGTGAGAAGAAAAAGGATGACGTTTCTGCCCCAGGGAGGTCACGGTCTAAAGGAACAGTTGACTGACATGAAGACCAGTGACCCCAGATTACAGGTCAGTCCTAACTTCAGTCCCTGCCTGGCTGGGGAGAAGCCTGCAGTGTTCTAGAGGAGAGGCCCCAGCCCTGCTGTTGTGCAGACGCCTTTGGTGCTCCTTGAACACTGAAATGAATCATTTCAAGGAGTTGTAGAGCCTCTTAGATCAATTTCTGGGTTCTGAATAGCACCTTAGGTCATACAGGGGACTTCTGGGATGGGGCTAGTCACCTACATTGTGGGCATCTTCATATCCTTTAAGGGGATGACCATTGATTCTGTGTTGGGGTTTGTTTCTGACTCTTCATCTGAGGAGGATCCCACACCACCTGTTCTGCTTTTAACCTCTAGTCTAGGACTCCTGTGCCTCCCTTCCCACTCCCTGGATCACTCAGGGTTCCTATAGAGAAACAAAACAGGAAGATGCTTAGACATATATATGAATATGTATGGTTATGTGCCACATAATGTTGTGTTGGTCAATGATGGACTGTGTGTGCACTGGTAGTTCCATAGATTATAATGGAGTTGAAAAATTCCTACTGCCTTGTGATATAGTAGTAGCTGTTGTAACATCACAGCGAGCTACATTACTCATGTGTTTGTAGTGATGCTGGTGTAAACAAACCTATTGTTCAGCCATCATATAAAAATACGGCACATACAATTATGTATAGTACATGATACTTGACTATGGTAATAAATGGATATTGTTGGCTTATGTATTTATAATACTTTTTATCATTATTTTAGTGCATACTCCCTCTACTTACAAAAAAACAAACAAACAATAAAGGGCTGGGGGTGGAGCTCAGTGGTAGAGTGCTTGTCTAGCATGAGTAAGGCCCTGGGCTTTATCCTCAACACAGAAAAAAAATACAGTTCACTGTAAAATAGTATACTGTGTTATGCTGGCAGCATCTTCATGTAGCTCCTGGTTACTAGATTTCTTGATTGCAGCAAGAGGCTATGTTGTGTGACCGGCCTGTACACCTAGGTTTATGTAAGTGCAGCTTATGACGTTTGCACAATGGTGAAATTGACTTACAACACATTTCTCAGAACACATTCCTGTTATTAAGTGATGCATGACTATATGTGTATGTGCGTGTGTATGTGGAGTTGGTTTATACAACTGGGCAAGGGCCTGGTGGGAGGGAGCTGGGTGGACAGGCCACCAGCAAGGGCAGTCTGGAATTATAGGCATAAGCTGAAACTTCTGACCACAAGTAGAATTTCCTTTTCTTCAGGGAAATGCCAGTCCTGCTCTTAAAGCCTTTTACCTGATTAGATCATTTCCACCCTGAGTCTCAAGGACACTCTCTTTCAGTTAAAGTCAACCAACTATAAACATTAATCGTATCTATAAAATACACACATAGCAACACTAGACTAGTGTTTGATTGAATAACTGGGGACCATGTTCTAGACAAGTTGCTTGTAAAAGTAGCCATCACATTTTCCATTTTAATGGGATGGCCATTGATTCTGTGTTGGGGTTTCTTTATGACTCTTCATCTGAGGAAGATCCCATACCACCAGTTCTGCTTTTAACCTCTAGTCTAGGACTCCTGTGCCTCCTTTTCCACTCCCTGGATCACTAGAAGAAGTGATTAATTTCCTGGGTCTATGGAAAGAAGAAGAAACAAATTTAGACACTTTGTGTCTATTAAAACCAAGAGATATGATTAAAAAGGGATTCTCATAGGTTAGAACCCATATTGGATCCAAATGGCTTACTGTTGCCCCTCAGTAGCTGAAGCACGAACCACACTATTGCAGAACTCTTTTCTACAGGAACACAGGTCTCCTTCAGGTGGTAGGAAAAGGGTAGGTGAAGCAAAAATTAAGAGAGCATACATTTCCTGTGCACTATTCATGCCAGATTTTGAAAAAGTCTCATTCCCAGAGCTTATCTAGTAAGTGATACATTCTTCTAACACTCACATATGGGAGCTACCATGTCTCCTCCATATATTCCTTCCTCTGTCTTCCCACCCACCCACATTTGTACCCACTGATCCACTCTCCAAACATCCATCCATCCAAACATCCATCCATCCATCCGCCCACCGTCTATCTATCTACATAGGAGGCTGAGATGGTTACTGTTGTGTAGTGTTTTGTTAAAAATGTGGATTGAGTTTTTTGAGATAAATATTTTTTCTATGTAAGTATCAGCCAAAAAAAATGTTGTATTGAGAGATACTTAATGTTCTATGAAGTTATGAGTGTTAAAAACTGAGAAATGTTGAATGGGGAAATGTTCCTTGGGGAGAAATTCTGCAAGGCATGCTATGTCTGGCTTTCATGTGCTCCTTGAGGCAGGGACCATATGAGACTCATGCCCCTCTTTCCATTTCCACTCCCAGGGCAGGGCCAGGCCCAGTACAGATGCCTGAACTACACGAAGAATGAACAGAGGGTTCAGAGCACTGTACTGGTCTGGAAAGAGATCCATCTTCACCCCCTTTCTCTGCCCTGCTGTTTGTGGTAGGAGCTAACTCTTATAGGCAGCATGTCCCACTCTTCTATGTCAGTGGCTCTCAGAGGGGTTCAGTCAATGGGAGGCACTGGTAGAAGGTGGGGAGGGAGAAGAAGGGAGAAACTAGGGTTCTTATCTCTTCCTTGGCTGCTTTGGATGGAGACTTCAGTATCTGCTGCACCTCTTTTGCGATTTCAGCTTCTTCAGGGTAACCTATGTGCCTCCTGTTCATCCTTCCTTTCTCTGTCCCTATGGCCCAGGGGTGGTGGCTTCCTGTGATGCTAACACTTGATCGCCTTGCTGTCATTCTCCCATCACTGCTGTAACCAATTCCCCACATTCAAGTCTCTCTGCCTTAAGCAGCTGGGTGGCTTCTTTTTTCCTCGTTGGATCCTGATTAATGCAAGACTGAATTGTGGATGTGGCTTCTCTTGCCCCAGAACCTCAGACCTTCTGGGAAATTCCCTACTTACATACCAACTGCTGTGAGAAACTCCATTAGACACAAATGATGGGAGATGACATTTGCACTTAAAAGAAGGCACTGGTACTTTTCTATAAATAAATAAATAAATAAAAATGTAGATAAGCAGGATGAGGAGAGAGAGAGTAAAAATGAAGTTTTGAGGGGAGAAGTTATTAATTACAAGAATAACAACCATTCAACTATTAGACCTCTAATATGTGCTGGATGTCTTGCATACATTCTAGCTAACCCAACAGAGAAGGTTTATTGATCTTGTTTTACAGATGAGCAAATGGAGGCTAGTAGATGGCAGAGCTGAAATTTGAACCTCTGGTCCCTGTCCCTCTACATTCTGTGCCCATCCTGTGCATCGTACTAAGCTCAGACATTACCATTATTGGATGCAAACCCTCACAAAGAAGTAGAATGTGATATATAAATATGTATTTCATATATTTACAAACAAGATTATTTATAAGCTGCTACATAGTTTAATGGGTCAGGATTTTCTGCTCATATTGGGAATATCAAATCCTCAAAGTTCATGTCACACTGATGACATCAGCCACTACGGCCAACAGCCTTTGTGACATCCCTGAACACACAGATATAACACCAGCTGTCACTTTAACAATGGCATAAAGTTTCGTGTCAGGAGACCTGCGGCAGTAAAACCCTGGGCTTGATTGTCCAGGAGACCATGTCTTCCTTACAGGTCACAGAGCAAACACTGTGACAAACAAGCCAATTACAAGAAGAAAGAGAAGGTAACAAAGAGCAAATAGGTCCTTGCCTGGCAGGAGAAGCCAAGAAAATGAGCCTCGAAGGCCTCTGCAACATTTAACTCCTTCTTCAGGGAACTTGGTACAGAAGTCTGCCTAGAGGACTTAATTAAAAAAAAAATTGGTATTAAATGTACAGAGCAGAGAATCCTTATCAATAATAAACTGAGGCCAAATGGAGGCAGTGAAGTCATTGCCATGGTCCTTTAAAAAAACTTTTTATTAGTTTTCAGAGCTTTGGATCTCCAGCATCCTCCTAGGGTATTTGAAGTCTATTTTATACACGAAGGTAGTTATTTCCTTGACAGTGGTGTAGGGTTACTGAGTCTCTCCTATTTCCTTGATAATCTTTGTCTTCAAAGAGAGGTGTGTTTTATAGGTCAAATTGGGGCTGAAGAGCAGAGAATGAGCCCTTGGATGCTCACAAGTAATTAGCCTTGACACCTGGGCTTAGTTACCCCTCATTATGGCAGCCTGAAGTCTTTGCCTGGGCTGTGTCTCTGACAGGGTGGGGCCTCCTCACCATCAATCTCTGCTCATTTCTCCCTTTCACCTCCAACTTCAGTTTCAACTCTCCCTGCAAGACTTTGTGGGCAACTCTGTCTGGTTTCTTAAACTCCCTCAAGACTGTGATACAAAGGTGCTATTTGGTCACCTTTGATTTGTTCTCCTTTCCCCCTTATGTTCAAATTGTTTTACACACCATTTCCAGATTTCTTCCCCAAATGTAGCTCAGACTTTACCATTATTGGATGCAAAAGCTCCAGAGATTCCCAATGGACTATGGGGATCACTGGTTGATAATTCTTCCCTCCTTGAAACACTTTTCTTGCTTGGTTTTCAGAGTACACATTCTTCTGGTATCTCTGTATCTCACCAATTGCTCTTTCTCGGTCTCTTCTGCTGGCTCCTCTTCATCTCCTAGACTTTGAAGCATTGGGCACCCCAGGGCTCAGTCCCTGTACCTCTTTGGTTTGCTAGCTTTGCCTATTCCCTTGATCCCATCCTTTCTCATGTCTTAAAATAGCAACTGCTTGTGAAAGACTTTCAAATTTACACCTCTAGCTCAGACCACTATTTTAATCTTAGCCTCATACATTCAACTTTCTTGGGGGTAAAAAACCAATTGAGCAGATCCAGTCTGTTGTGCAGGTGATTCTTGATTTACAATGGGGTTATGTTCATTTTCACTTGAAAATATTATAAGTTGAAAAAAAATGCAGTTAATACACATAATCTACTGAACATCATAGCTTAGTCCAGTTCACCTTAAGCATGTTCAGACTCTTACATTAGCTCACAGTTGGGCATCATGAGAGACTATTATAACACATATTATCAGCTCAAGATGAAAATTCAAAATTTGAAGTATGGTTTCTATTGAATGCGTATTGATTTTGCACCACCATAAAGTTGAAAAAATCTTAAGTTGACCTATCAAGGGATGGAAACTGTCTATATTGATCTTTCCAAAGAGCTAAATATAACATATTAAGTTTTCCAAGGACGGCTACAACAATATCTCACACCCCTTAAGATCATGCTGTGTTCTTAAGAGTCTTTTGTGTGAGATCTATGTTGTTTCTCTTTTAATCTGGAAAGATCTTTATGATTGCCTTGACTGAGGGAGGGTGCTCAAATGACACTGTGATTTCAAGGTGCAACTGTATATCTGTCAAGTATTTCTGTCTCACTGTCTTGTGGTGCTTGTTCTTGGGACTCAGTCACTATGCTATGAGGAAAGAAGTCACATGGTCACACGTAGATATTCTGGCCAAGAGCCCTCCTGAGGTCCAGCAGAGAGCTTCAACCACTGAATATGTGCATAAAGAAGCCTCAAGATGATCCAGCCCCTAGCCATTGAGTTATCCAGCCAGAATCTCCCCAGCTGAGATTAGACAGTAAGAGAAGAGACAAATTGTCCCTGACAGGTTCTGTCCAAACTCTTGACCCTCAGAGTCTACCAGATGAACAAAATAGTGGCTTTAATGCCAGTAAGTTTTAGGGGATTTTTTAGGTAGCAACAGTAGATCTGCCTTGGGTCATGACTACCTTCCAGTTCCAGACTCGGCTAGGTCTGTCCCCTCCTTAAAGCTCCCCATCTTAAGAATACAGCAGACATAATATTCCTTATTGTGAATTCTCATACCAACCTCTCCCACTCACCCAGGGGAGTCAGGCCAGACGCCATACCCTTATTCTCTAGCCACCTGGAGCAACTGGGGCAAACAGTGCTAATGCACCCATGTTCCTGTGCATATGAAATGTTCTTCATCTGGTCAGCTCTACTCTTCTTACCTCTTATCCTCTCAACCTGGAAGACTCCTACTTGGGTGAATTCAATGGCTAATCTAAAATGTTCTTTCCTAGATAGAAGACTCCAGAAGGCCCCAGACTTCCTATTGAGAAGTCCGAGATGGGGTGTGTGTGTGTTGGAGATCCCATGTACACCCATGGGAGCAGCTGATACCGGGTCCTGGATAATAGCTGTCACCTTAGGGCATGGCCTTAATGTGGCCAGCTCTCCTGACTTTCCAAGGTAAGGCTGGGTTTTTAGGTAAATTCTCCCAGTTTTAAACCTTTAGGCAGGTCAATCAAACTGTGTTGCTTCTGGTCTGGGGACACAAGTTGGCCATCCCAGTCCAAACCAATTAGCCATCTCTCACTAGGGCACAGCCCACATAGTGTTTCTAGGGAAATTTCCAGACTCTGTAGACATTATTTTATAATAATGTGAGCTCTCCAATGATGAGGTTGAGTCTTATACTTACCATCTCTGTCCCCCGGGGGTTGGCATAAGGCTGGATGCACAGTCAGTACCGTGGTCTCCACAGTCCTGATCTCTGATATGGGGATTCAGCCCCTGCCTTCCACTCTCTTCCCCTTAGCGGAGCCCCAAGTGACTCTGAGCACTGCTTCATCTCCAATGATGTCACCCTCTCATTTTCTTTCCCAGGCTTCACACCTCTGAAGTAGCCCTCCACATTTTAAAAAGCTCCCCTTTCTGCCACCGCCTCCCTTTTCCTGTTTGGAGTCTGAGATAGTCAAAAGCCCTTCTGGTTCCAGTGTGTAAATTTATTCGGAGATGGGTGCCTCTCCAAGCCTGTTGTCTCAGCCAAAGCAGGACACTTAGAGTTGATTATCGCATTACCACCGTGCTGATGTGGAGTGCTGATCTGCAAGTAAGACTGCACAACACGGAGAAGATGAGCACTTTAGAAGAAGTGGTTCCCTTCCACACATCCAGATAAAAGGTGGCATGTTGATGCAGGGCACATCATTTGGCGATGGCAAGACATTATCTTTTCTTTATGAATAATAGAAGATGTTTGGCTGGCTCATAATCTTTTAAAAACTGTAGTCATAGTAACACATGTGTCGCCCCTTAATATGAGAATTTTCCCACTTAAAGACAACAGCCTATTTTACAACATGTTCTTATCCCCCCCAACAGAACAATATTCATTAGATTTTAAATTCTACCGAAGTGAAATATAGAAAAAAAAGGATTACCTTCTCCTGGTGAGATACCTGGCTATTAATCATGTGGGGTGACATAGAGCTAGATTCTTTCTGTCTAAGAATTGTAGTTGCTGATGAAAGAATCATCAGTGACGGTGCACAACTCATGGAGGCAGAGTGGTGGGGTCTGTCTACCCATGTCAGTCTCCAAAGAAAAGATCTTGGGTTTTGGAGAAGTAACCAAAACAGAAGAAAATTTCCAGGGTGTCAAAGACCAGGCATCCTTACCTCTATCATGAAGGTGCCTCTGCTGTGTGGTGGTGATAAGAGGGAAGGGGTGTTATATAAAAGTGGGACGTGTTTTATTTTTTTTGTAGTTGACACACCTCAGTAGGGGAATTTGTGCAAGCAGGAAGATGTGGATATTGGTGGAAATGGGTTGATTAGCTTGGAGTGGGTAGTAGATGGCTTTCAGGAGAGGTGATGGCCAATTTCCGATATCCGAGAGGCAGTTTGAGAGTAAAAGGATCTGATTTGTTTTGTGTGGCCCTCAAGGAGAGAACTAGTAGCTAGGGATGGGAGGATATAGAGAGGTGTACTTCAGATCAGTCTGAGGAAGACTTGGGTAAAGGAGGTCCCTGGCATGTAACTCTGAGGTGGCTCTCTGAGTGCACAACCTGGACTGGGGAGGGCCTTCTTGATCAATACCTGGTAAAGGATGAACAAGAGGGCAGAGGGAGCAGTTGAGCAGTGGCGAAACTGCAATAGAACTTTAGCTGATCTTACAGAGAACCCTGGGGCTGGGACTGCCCTCAGCTCTGTTCTGAATTGAGGCAAGGGAACTAGCCCTTTGCAATATCGCACTGGCCAGTCACTGTTGTAGCTGTCCTGCAGGGAGGGAAGTCTTAGGAGGGCAGCTCCTCTGGGAGCCACCAGTTGCCCACATTCCTGGGAGCTGAGGAAATGAGAGACTTGGGCCCAAAGGGGGATCTGAGCAGTACATCAAGGTATCCACCCGAGATGGCTGCTTGGTGGAGATGTCAGGACCCCTTCATCATGTGACTTCTTATCATCTGTCCAGTGTTCACATTCTCTTATAAAATGCTGTAAAAAAGCCCATTTATCAAGTATTCCTGGACTGCTAGCTGCTAGCATGGGGTCCTGGTTGGAGTCAGAGGCACAGTTTGCTCAACTTATAACTCCTGGCTCCTGGGCAGTATCTCCTTGGTTCCAGAGGAAGAGTTCATACAAATTTCATTCAAATAATATCAAATGAGTGACTTCATTTAGGAGCTAGAAACACAAGTATGAAGAAGATTAACAAATCCCCACCCTTGACAGGGCTTATCTTCTAGTGAGAGAGACATAAAGCAATAAATGAATCTGGATAGGGAAACAGAATGAGTGTGTGTGTGTGTGTGTGTGTGTGTGTGTGTGTGATATTTATATTGGGGATTCAAAGATGGTGTCTTTGAGCAGTGACACTGCATTAGATCTGAATTATATTAAATAACTCCAAAGATTGGGAGAATAGAGTTCTAGGCAGGAGGAATGGCAAGTGCAGAGGTCCCGAGGTCGGAAAAGCCTGGTGTTTTCTAGACTTATTTAATAAGCAGAGTGTGAGAAGATAAACTTCAGTTTTCAGGGAGAACTTGCTTCCATAAAGAAAGGCAGTTGCATGTTGGGGTGAGGGGATGTAAGAGGCATTTTTCAGTGTTTAGTAGCCAAAAGCCATGCATCGTACTCAGGAGAGAAGAGCCAGTTATTTTGGAGGGTGCTGTCATGAGACTGCACTTGGCAGTGGAAGCCCAGCGGATACATTTCGTTTCCTCATCTAAAAAACTGGGATGGTTTTAGTACCCACTTTGTAGGATTGTTGTGAGGATCAAGAGCTAGAATCTACAAAAGTGCTGAACTCTCAGTCCTTGGTTCACAGTAAGTGCTTAATAAATACTAGCACTAATATGTGTTGTTTAACTTAACTGAAGAGATGGGCTTAACTGAAGATTTAAATTCTAAGTCCCTCCTCTATGCCATCTCTCCCCTCTTCCTCTCTCTGTCTTAGTCTCTGTATCTCAGTCTGTCTCTTTTCCGCTGTCTCTTGGTTGATCTCTAATTTTTGTACTTATCTCTACTTGTCCGTCTGTCTCTGTCCCTCACTGTGCACTTTCTCTGTTTTATTCTTTTTCTTTCCTTCCTTCCTCCTCTCCTTCTTTCCTTCCTTCATTTCTTTTTTCTTATTCTATTTGTCTCTCTTTCCTTTTCTTCTTGCCAGACCCAGAGCCCAGCTCTGCTTTTCAGACCCAGGAGCGGGCTGCTGTCCTTGGTGCTGATGAGGACAGCAGGCTCCCGTCTTCCACCCTTCATTAGGGAACAGAGATAGATGGTAGTGGTTTTCCTTGAATAGCCAACCAGCAGGGGTTCTCCATCTGCTAGTGCAGGTAGAGTGACTTCCCTTATGGGACCAGCTCCTCTAGAGCATGAAGGACCCCCCTTGGTCATGAGAGCAGCTGCTTTTCTGCCCCCTTCCCACAAACACACTTAATCTTGCCTTGTACTTGCCCATATGGCCTCCATGGGGGCTGGAGCAGCAGGTCCTCCTTCGTCTCAGGACTGCAGCGAAACAGATTGGAAGAGGATTTATTTCTCCTGCTCTAGTGGTGCATAGCAGCTCCCTTTTGTGTGAGTGTGAGTGTGTGTGTGTGTGTGTGTGTGTGTCTTTCCAGAAACACAGGCACTTTCTCCATGGAAACCCTTTACCAGGAGAATGATGTCAAAAGCTGTATCCCTTTACCCCCAAATAATCTTTCTTTAATATCACCCAAAGTGAATTAAATGAGGAAGGCTATGAGATTTTTGTCTCTCTTGGTCCCTGTCAGCAGATGATATGTTGGGAGAGGGATCAGCAATTAGGGGAAGGGGCCAGGTGCTCTGAGGAGGTGAAATGTGACCACAGAATTTAAAAGCAGCCATGAGTAAGTTGCAGTCCTCGCCCATCCCTAACTCTATGATCTTGGGCAGAGGATAGATAAGTTTCTTCATCTGAAACCAGGGGCAAATATCTGCTCAGTCTTCTGCATAGAGTTGCTGTAAGTATCAAACAGAAATCAATATGAGGGAATCTGGAAACCAAGCATTGTGCAAACTCTGATAGCTCACATTTTTCAAGTGTTTTTTTAAGATCAGGCTCTGGGGTGGGCACTTCCCATGCATTATCTTATGCAATCATTAATCCTAATGAGGTAGGTATGTGTCTCATTTAAGGGATGAGGAAGCTGAGGCTTCTGAGAAATTGTGTGTTCTTCCCAAGGTCACTGTTGGAGGCAGGGAACGTAGAGAGTGCTGGGAAGTGAATTCAAGTCTGTTGACTCCCAAGTTCTTGTGTCTTTCGTTGTGCCCCATCCCTGACTCTGTCTTGGAGGATAAGCTATGGCTGATATCCCTGCAGCCTAGTTGTTTTGATGGACTGACTGAGACCCAGGCAGATGGCAGGGTTTGAGTTGGCAAATCCATCCTGAGATGGCCAAGAGGGTCACCTTGGACACACCAGAGGACACTTGGAGAAAGAAGATGTTGGAGTTCCTTACCTCAGGGAAGGGACCATCTGCTCTGTGCTCTTTGAGATAAATTACCTTCATAATCCATGACTTTCTCCAACACTTTTGGGCTTACGAGGTTAAAGAGACCAGGTGTCTGCTGCATTATGTGTCCAGAGAGAGCAGAACTGTGCCTGAAAAAGGAACTTCTTAGAGTCCAGGGGCCTCCTCTCATTGGCAATAAAAACCCAGCCTGAGGATTCTGTAAACAGCTGGAGCTGCTCTTCTGCCTTCTTCCAAATGCAGCCTCAACTTCCAGCTCCAAGGCACCTTCATCCACTTATACCATTTATTTTTATTTAAAATAAACAAAAAAATGTTTTTAAAGTCCTGCATTCAAAACTCTAAGCACAAGCTTCTGGTATAGACAAATAGGTTGCGATTAAGGGAGGCTGATCAGGGAAGGATTCTGAACTGAGCGAGTTACTGCAACTAGGTTGTCCAGTTTCATAAGCGTGAATTTGGTCACATTTCCTATTTC